GTACTGTATAAACTATGTACTGTATGTATTTTTAATTACAATACTGTATTGCACAGTAAAATGTAAAGTAAAAAAAACAAGGTAAATTCTGAGTCTACCTATATGAACTGCAATTTAATAGAAAGTTTTTTCAGGAAACAATCCCATCTGCATCACACAAGGCGGGAGATGCGTACATCCCAACAGCTTCCCAACGTACAGTATCGTACCTCGTACGCTACTGCGTTTGCCTGCCGCGCGAAATGTAAAATATTTTACAATTTTGTCGTATCACAATCGCTATCGTAAAGATCGAAATATCGTAAGTCGGAAACCATCGTAACTCGGGGACTATCTGGAATGGAATGACAGGACATCTGCGAGGATGCTTAGAGTCAAACTCGCAGTGGAACTGCGGAACACCTGTGAGACCGGTGAAGCCGCTGCAGGTTGGATCTGTAGTACGAGTTGAAATGATGGTACGACGGGAATTAAAACCTTGTTGGCAGCTGCAGATTAAATCTGCAGTGTGAGCCACAACTTGCGTTGCATTGGGGAGCAGAGTGTTGTCGTTAGTGTTAAGTGGCTGCTGAAAAATGTGTAATTTTTCTCATTGCAAGTGATTAATTAATTAGTATTGCTCAAGATTGTACATCTGCATGCTGCAAATAAATATTCCTCCATCCTTTGCATACTTTGCCTTCATGAACTTTCCTAGAAATAGACATTCTTAAATTTTCCAGCTATGTCCCTCCAATAATTATTCTATTTTGTTCAAACGTCTTGTAATAGATAACATGTAATATTCGTTAATGTTTTGTTTATACTACTTAGTCCATTCCTGGATATGAAGCAAACCTCATAAAATAATTATCAAAGCAAAAAACTGCTAAAACCACAGTTGCACAATTCCCCACTTTAATAAATGCATTCTTTCTGAAGCGAGCGAGATGTAAGTGCACAAGGGATACCATGAAGATGTTTTTAGTGTTTTTGAGTAAAAGTAAAAAAAAATACACAATTGTGCAATTCTGTCACTGGAAGGAACACAAATTAATCTGACTGTGGATAACAGGGATTGTGGATGTGATTATTGTGGCTCGAATTATCTTAATTTAATAACTATTTAGTTCTGGTTGTAAATAGGGCTGGAATATGGAATAAATAAACGTGCGCTTTTAAGATTTATACGAGTCCCTATATACGTCTGACTCTCAGACAAATGCGGTAATAGATACCTTCTGAGCCAAATCCCCCTCCCTAGAAGCCCATCTCACTGTTGAACTCGAATAACAAACTATTCACAAAAATTATTGCAAACAGATTAGAAAAGGCCACCCTGGCAATCACTGGAGGAGCACAAACGGGCTTAATTAAAAACACACTCGGCTGACAAGATTAAGAATTTGGTTAACGCCGCAAATTTCGCTACAAAGGACAATCTAATTGCCTACACCCTTACCCTGGATGGAGAAAAAGCTTTTTATAGAATTAACTGGGTCTTCCTATTCCGGATAAGGGGCAATTTCGACCTTCCCGGTTCCTTTATTGACAAATGAAAACTCTTTTTGTGCCGCCCTTCGGCCACCGTGGTTACAAATTACTTAACATCTCCAAGCTTTTGTCTGAGCAGAGGCACCAGGCAAGGTTGCCCCATTTCCCCACTGTTATTTACCCTAGCTATGGGACCCTTCGCCAAAAGCATTCAGAGAAGTCAATAGGTGTCAGAAATACATATCGGGACAGTGGAATGCAAACTAAACGTATACGCCAACAACAAGGGGTGGGGAACGTCCGGTCCGCTGGGCCGTATGAGGCCCACGAAATGATTTGGTGTGGCCCTGCCAAGGCAACCGCAGGCGGGACTCGAAATTCAATAAATCTTGGAGCAAACCTGGAAAAGCAGTTGCGAGTAGCAGCATCATCATCAATACCAGCTAACATCATCACATGCCTCGCCAAAGAGAAGCAGTTCCAGCCATCACATTAGGGGTGAGTTAATTAAATGTTTGCCCAAATATAACAGGCTAATTTTAGAGTTGATAATTTTGTATGGCCCGCGAATGATGTTATAAATATCCAAATGGCCCTTGGCAGAATAAAGGTTCCCCACCACTGGCCTACAATGTCCTTCCAGCAACCTCGATCCTTGCCATTTTGACCCGAGTAAGGGAATATGGAAATGTGTCAGGATATAAGCCGTGGTGCCCAATGCACATTAAATACCTTTGTTCCAGGAGTTTACCACCTCACTTGTGGCATAGGCAGATATCCCCCTCTCACTTCATAATAGGGCCCACCTGGTAAAGATGATGGTCCGTCCAAAGCCTTTAGCCCACCTACGAATGGTCCCTACCCAGATGCCGAGAGCCTACTTCAAAACACTCCACTCACGCATTTCCTCTTACATTTGGAACCACAAACTAGCGAGCGTGGATACGCTACCATTACCTTAACCTGTCTAAGAACGAGAGAGGCCTGGCTCTCCCAGACCTCCTTAAATATCACAAAGCAGTCACTCTTCAGAACGTGGAACTAGTGAAAAATTGGAAGAAGATTCTGTGAGCCCATGGTCCCTTATCAGGTTTTCCCTCTCCCCAACCAAAGACAGACTCCAGGGGCATTGAACCGGGGATATGCAAGGACAGACATATCTCCTTCTCCGCTCCCCTACAATAACGATCCCCACTATGGGGAAACCCCTGAGAATGAGCAACAGGGAGATCAAGTGGCCCAGCTGGAAAGTAACAGGCTTGAAAAAGGTTGGCGACCTTTGGACTAAAGGCGGCAAGATGATCTCCTGTGAGCAAATGCAGGCACATGAAAACATCCCTCAGGTATTTTAGTTAGGTACCTACAAATCGCTATCACCAAATTCCAGATAAGAACTATGACCATTGTGCACATGTCAAGGAAAAAATACAGACTGGCAGAAGCATATCTCCTCATGAATAAAGAGGAGTTCCAGATCTGGCCCAGTATTATGAAGCTCTGGGAAAAGCTCTTGGACCAGGACATTCCCCAAAACGAGTGGATTCACATCTGGCAGGCTCCGGCTGCAGGCCCTAGGTCACTATCATAGACGCTTATTACATTAAACTTCCTATACGGGACCTACATGACTCATGAAAGGAGGGTCAAATTCACCGATTCTTCGCTAGACTGTCTTAGATGCCCACTAGGCACGGTTCAGACCTACTCACACGTCACCTTAGTCATAAACTCAAGGTAAAACAATGGGAATATGAGGCTAGATGGTCCCCGAGGCTGCTAAACCCTGCGTGAGTATGCATGCCGTCAGAGGCCATGTGAAAGGGATGGACTCCTGACATATCACTCCTCCAGGGGATTTACTATAATGACAAACTCACTTGGCACGTGAAGGTTATTTTATTTTTAGGTTCTATTTGGGTACATTCCAACCCCCCCCCCCCCGCCCCTCTCTCATCTTCTCTAAAAATATAATTTTCCCGAATCGTTGCACCTACGCGAGTTGGGCAGTGAGAGCCCAGCCACCTTTCCCAGTCCCTACCCCGAGGGCACCTGGCCTCGAGTTTGTCGCTCGCGAGCTGTCTGTACTCGGCCTCCCCATCGTCTGTACTCGGTATTGGCCTCTTGTTTAATAATAAAACTAGATTTGACGTTTTCGTGACTGCAAGGATCCATACTCGTTGGTTCTTTCGGTAAAGTCACGTAAGTGAAAAAATAAATAAATCACGACGTTTCGATTGCAACACAAGCAATCATCATCAGGTTTAACAACCACAGCACTTCAGTAAAAAATGTCCTTGCTGTGGTTGTCACACCTGATGATGATTGCTTGTTTTGCAATCAAAACGTCGTGATTTTTTTTTTCACCTACGTGACTTTACCGAAAGAACCAAAGAAGAATAATAAAACTATTTATTTATGTGCAATTGGCTCAAAATAATTTATGTTACTATGTTTTACAGTATGCATGAGAGAGTAAGTAATGGAGTGAAAACTTTGCTGTACACCTGAATATTCGCAGGTTTTATAATACAGATTTTGTGTATTCAAAACACATTCACGGTAGTGCTATCTGAAATTTGCGGGGTTGTATATTAAATATCCTCAACCATAGCAAGCTAAAAGAGGCATAGATTGTGAAAGTTGCCCACTCGACGCTTTCCCTCTCAGTCTGCCTTTGTCTGCCACACAGTTTACATGTGAGCGCAATTACATTTTTTGAAAAATTACTCACTCCGTAATTGCCATTGATTTATTTGAAATTTTAAATGTTTACGTTCATCATTAAAGGTAAGTTAAATAACACGATAATACTATACAATATATGTATTCATTCATATATACATACAGTTCTGTGTATACACATTAATGCCCCTAACTATATTTTCCTAAAGCTTTAAGTATTAATATTCGTGAATTACATTTTCATGCCATTCTCAAGGCTCATATCCTTGCGAATATTAAGGGTGTATCGTATATTTAGCAATTGGTAACCAAAGTAATTTTTTGTAGACAAACTGTTTAAAAACCAGAGACAATTTGAAACACTGATGAATGTTGGGCATATACTTCTGAAACTGCAGTTCATGAATAATCGAGAAGTTAATTATAGGTAAAGCATGTGTGGGCCTCTACAAAATGTTTATGGTCAGCGGTAAAAGTTGTGCATGAATAATATTGCTGGATAAGGTCAGGATCACACCACATTGCCACAGTAATGAGCAAGGTATCCACATGCCAACATTTGGAACAATGTACCTATTTTGCAATTTGTCTGACTAATTTTCAGTTGTCCAATCCCATTTGTAAACATGAACCAACCTTAAAAGATATTAAATTGAACTAATATCGGACTTAACAAGGAAAATGAACACACTGATTCGTATATAAAAAAACTGAAGACCCTCACTTTGTTAAATATTAGCAAAAGTACAGTCTGGACTGCAGTGACACTGACATTAAAACATTTTAAAATTAAACTCTGCTCAATCTTGCTGGGGGTATTCGAGCCATTGAAAGGCAATACCCACCGGCAGCAGTAATGGTGCCGATGCCCCGCTGGCCAGTATAGGTCAGGTCGAGATGTCCAAGCACTTGGGGACTCCCAGGGGAGGGCAGAATGCAGTTTGAGAGGTGATGAGTGTGATCCATGGTGTGATGGCAAGGGGCAGCTGTAAAAATTGTGTCAAATTCAAATGATATTAAAACAAAGCAACAGAAAACCAAAGTTAAATGAGAATAAATAGAAGTTAGCAATGTGCCATTGTCATTTTTTAATAAAAGCTTGCGTTTAAAAAAAATCACAAATACACATTTACAGTGTAAATGTGAATTTATGAACGATATTTTAAGTTTTACACTTCACTGATATGAACGGCCTGGGATATTCAAAGGAACTTGATATTCAAACAAGTGTGAAATTATGATTTTTGTTTACGTTTATTTGTGTTTAATTAACAAAGTCGTTGCATTATGTGTTATATAATGACCATAAGTGTTCATGTATAATTAAGTTTTAAACAGAATATAATCATTTATAAATGGTCATAACTTATAAATATGTAATACTCGTTGTATCATTGATAACTATTACCTTAACATGAAGCGCAATGTTCAAGTCATAGTCATTTGTGTTGATCTTTACAAAAGTAACTTTTTACTTTACCGAAAGAAAGAGTATGGATCATTGGAGTCACGAAAACTTCAAATCTAGAATTAACTTTAAAAAGATCAGTATTATCACTTTTAACTTTAAGGGGTATCATAATTTTGTTGCAAATTTTCAGGAGCAAAATAATTGTTTGCGTACGTTAACAATGTAAAGAGTTATTATTTTGAAGTAACTTAAACAACACAGCTTGGTTTACCTTAAAGTGGCAAGTCACCATTAGCCATCTTCTATTCATTTCTAGGTGAATGTCTCCCCACAACTACACCATCTCTGGTAGTTACTTGATGATACAATCCATCTTACTGCACATGAGATAAATGCGTTGCACCAACGTGCTCTTGTTCACTTTATATTTCATGAGTTCCTATAGTTCCATAATTGTCTACAACAAGTGGCCTAGGTATATGTACTTGTAGTAACCTACCTGCCATAAGCCAAGGTGTTGTTCTTCTGAGAAAAAAAACCTTCCATGGACAGAAGACTTGTAGAACTTAATTCATAAACAATTCCCAGCCTTTTAGATGTGTGGAGCCGCAGATATCAAAGCTCCCCTCTCCTCAATACTGCGCATTGATATGCTAATTCTGGCAGTTATGGGCCACACCTAACATTCACTTGGTAATTATGACCTTTATGCTGCTGTGTGCCATTGTCTATCTATGTCTCTCTGCATCTATATATCAGTTGCTGTTTGAGCCGTCATTTTGCCAAGGTTACACAGAGGTTTGTCAACACAGTCACTCCGCGGTGGAGGCCTGATTATTCGTTTTCCCTGACAAGCGAAGCCCAAAGTGGATCAAACAATGGCGACCCCAGCAGAAGGGAAAAGATGGCTGAGTTCAGATTCTGGACACAACCACCCCCGCTGGGAGAATGGGTCAGCCTCCTTCATAAAGTAGTGGGCTGTCACCATAGGGTGGATGGGGTAATGGGGGACAAGTGATGTCATTGGAACTGGCCAATTCCAGAAGGTGCCTCCTGCTCCGTGGAATTCAGAAAGTTAGGGCTCAGTCGGCAGAACCCAGGAAGGTTAAGGCATGGTGGACCGCGGGGCAGTCTGGAAAACATGGTTCTGGCGAGACCACGTGTGTGGCGATCAGGAACACGCTGTGTTCCATGAAAACATACACCGTTTGAGTTCCAGTGTTGCGATGGTGAGCTCACAAGTCAAGCCCGAAGTGAGCGATTAAAGGTTAAACATTCTGCATCATCTTTGTCTCTTTATCATGGTTTGTGTGCTGTGTGAATACGGCTGCCGTGTAGTGGTGGTTGTGAATGGTAGTTGTATGCTGTGTGTGTACGATTGAGTAGTGGTGATAGGTAAGTCATTCTATGAGTGGCCTTGGCTGGAACGAGAAGCCCAAAGTTTAAAAAAAACCCTCCCTGTTGCCTGCACGGCGTACACAAGGCTGTCCACTCTGGAGTTATCGTAGAGTGCGATTGATGTCAACGTCCAATTTTAGACTACGATAGGGCTACCGTCGGGGTTGGCAATACCAAGTAATATGTTCCACGAGTAGGGTAGTTCCCTCTCTCAGATAAGACTAAACACAATACATCTCGATAGCAGCACTCACTACACTCGGTGCTTGAACAGGGGAAGAAGAGTGGGAATGAAGACAATTTTCTTTGTTACCTACGAATAGCCTGAGTGGCGGCCATAGCAGGGTACATCTCGTTAAACAGCAGCTGGGAGAAGGTTGCCAGAGAAGATATTACTCGAAATAACCTCAACGAACAGTGAACTCCTCACAGTGTGCGAACCATTGCCCCACACGCACTCAGTAATTAATCCTGGGTAGGCAGAGTCGGGGTGAGGGAAGAGCACCCTGGAATAACCCACCCACATAGATCGATACAACCGCCATCTGTCACCAAGTGGCGTTGACGTCACCACGGCGCTTATGCCAGGCTATATGCACTTTAAGGCCATGAGAAGTGTTGAACGTCCGTTGGCAAGAGGTCACGGGACAGACCCAGGTGTCATGGGTGCACCACCTGTGGCGCCTACTGTGCAAAATTGTTGTGTTTTAGCCACCCGGCGCTCCGCTTGATGTTGTGAGCGTCGCTCCTCTGTCCTTTGTTGTTGCTGGAGGGCGACTGCCTCCAACTGCCCATTAGCATCCTTCACTAGCCTCCTCCATAGAGGCCAATATTGACACCGCTGGTACCAGTCATTGGCAGGTCCACTCAGCTCCACATCCTCTCGTGCCACATTATTCAAACCCTTCTCTAGCCCGTACCATGCCCGTTTAGCCCCCTCTATCCAGCCGAACAAAAGTTGTTTGGGCATGCAGTGGCTGGGCATGCAGGCTACATGACCAAAACAATGCAGACTTTCCCCCTGGAGGGGCTAACCAATGGGACTGTGTCCAGATCTTTCAAAGATTTGTGAGCTCCTCACACAATCCAGTCTGGTTAAACCCAGGATTTATTGCAGGCAGGCCAGCCTGAATGTTTATAACCGGGGTAGATGTTCATTAGGGGGGTCCACGTTTCGCAAGCATCAAAAAGAGAGTGCATGACCGTGGCTGAAAAGACCCAAAGCTTCATGTGGAGTGAGGGACCAGATAGCTTCCATACAGCGTTACACAGCGGATGAAAAGACAATGCCGCTCGACCGATTCAGAGTGAGACATCTGCTGTCAAACCGGAGCTGGTCATAAGCACACTGCCCAGGTCTAGAAACTTCTCCACTCTCTCCACAACTGCCCTGCCAATAGGGAGTTGAGGGGGTGGAGTATTTTATTATACAAAATACCCAGGCAGGTGCTTAGTTTTGGGAGGTTGATGGTAAGGCCCCACCTCATAGTAGATCTAGAAACATAAGGATATATACATATTTAAATGCACAGGTAGATCGTATACATAGAGGCACACACAGCACCTGACAGGGAGTGTTGGCAATCAGGGGAGAGGGTGAACTGTATGAGGCAGATGGGGAAGAAAACCCCTGTGTGATGTGTTGAGGTGCAAAATGTTTCCCGTGCATGCAACCATGAGCCAATGTGGTATGCCACAGCACTTGGGGGGGAAAGAAGGGCACCCCCAAGTGGTGCTACTCTGGGGGCGAGCACGGCTCGAAGCCACTTCTCTACCCCCAGCTACCCAGCATGCCTCACTGCAGGGCCAGATGGGGAGTCGGCCGAACCCTCGGGTGTGGCCTGAGCTGGGGGGGGGGGGGGGGCTCCCGCTCGTGTTTGGGGGCAGCCATCGCCCATCGCCCCCTGACCACATGGCTAGTGGAAAGGGGTATTCCGCAACATATGGGATAGAGATACAGATGAGTTTGAGGCATGCCGAGGGCAGCCCCGTCAAGTCAGTGGCCAGGCCTATCGGCTGGGCAGAAAGACGTATTACGCGTCCTCAGTGGACTAGCGACAATGGTGTGTGAGGAACGGACAGAGATGGGGGTTATCTCAGGACAACTATCTCATATCTACCACAACAATTCCAATAACTATAACAGCAGCTGCAGCTATATTCTTTAATTTTTATATTTCTATAAATTCTACATCATCTCCAAAAACAAACTATGTTACTCGTCTCCATATTTGATGATTACTTCAACAATTACAACAACTACCACATTTACACCTGTTTACAACTTCTTTGAACCTATCTACGTGACTTTACTGAAAGACCCAAAGAATATGTTTACAACTACTACAGTGAAGAGAACTTCAACAACAAAAACTATTACTATAGCTACCATTACTTCGATATCTTGCACTTGTCATTGACATTGTTAATCGCTGTTGAGGATTGTTATCTTTGCATTGATTGGTTTCTTATACTCTTTGGTTCTTTCGGTAAAGTCACGTAGGTAGAAAAATAATAGATCATGTTTATGTACTCAGCCTCTGCCCTGCGGAACTTACGACCTTTGGATTTTTGTTTCACAATGTTCATAGCTACACCGTATCTACAATGCTAATGGGATTCTCCAAAACCACATTACTTACACCGTGGTTCTGGCCATGGTGTGGTCTGTAATTCCAGAACAGTTGGGGCTCTTAGTACCGATTGGTCCCGTCGTCGGTGCAGCAAAATCAGATCCCGCGATGTCAATGCTGTCTGCCTTCTTTGCCCACGAAGCTCCTGATTTCTAGTTGTCAACGTGGAGGTCCAGTAGACACTGAGGTATCTCTCAATCACCAGCAATCCATATACATCCTTCTGCTCTATTGGCTTGTATGCATGTTGAACTTCTTTCACACCGTATGTAGCCAACCGTGCTAATCGAAGGCTTGACCGGCAAAGAGCATAGTCCTTCACATACCCCTGGATTCTGATACCCACCCCCATCTACCACCTCGCAGAAGGTGCTTGTCATCTAAAAATCAAATTCCTGTCACACCTATATGATCTCAACCAGTATCCACCTCCATTAAACTAGCCCCCTAGAATAACAGGTCCTTGAAAAACAAATTTGGCAGTCCTCATTAGATATCACTCGTTATATACGCTTCAATTCCTCCATGTTATCATTTTATGGAATGCGCTCATTCTGTGGGTCGAGGAGGCGGTGTTGCGGTTATTGCCAAGTAAAGTTTTTTGTAACAAGGATGACATCTCTATTTTACCAACATAAACCATTTTATTCCTCATTTGAATACATTGAACTTGAACTACTTTCAATAGAGCTAAAATTGTCTGTGGTTTATCATCCTCCTAAGTCAATTTCCAAATTTCTATCAGATTTTTCAGACTTAGTGTCACATATTAGCATGTCCTCTGCATCAGGTATCCGGATCTGCCATGGCTTGTGCAGATGCAGTTTAGGGTAGACCACAAGGTGTTTGTTTATTAATTATTTTGAACTCCATTCAGCTCTCCAAGCTTCACTGGGGTTGAACTCACATTGTTTAAGGTGTAGCCCATTGGTCCTGATGAATTGGAAGGCAACTGTTTCCTATTTTCGCAGAACTTTCTAGAGGGTTGCAGCATTGCAGCGGATGGGTGGGGGACCGGTGTGTGACACCACGGGCAACCAGGTTGTTGGGGTCGACTCGAGGGTTCCAGTGATACACCGCATTGCAGCGCTCAGTTGGACATCAATAAGATGAGTGTGACTTCTTCTGGTCCATGCTGGTGGACAGGACTCGGCTCCAGAGTACACACAAGCAATCGTTGATGTCCGTAGCACTGGTGCTGATGCTCTCCAGCTTGTGCTTGCCAGTTTCTGGACCAAGTTGATCCTTGATAATTGTTTTTTTAAATCCTTTATATTAAGTTCGCTTGCTTGCTTAGGACCGTGCAAATCTTTCGGTCGTTTTTTAACCCACTTCCCGTGATCCAATCGAGCTGACATTTTGCACACAGACTCGTTGTGCGTGACAATTAATGTTCGTGGAAATTTTTTCCCAAAATTGTACACTTTTTAGGACAAAAATAATATACTTAATTACCAATTGCTTAATGGTGCAATGCAATCATCTGACCCATAGGTGGCAGCCATCTCAAGCCAGAGGACGAGAGGACTCTAGCCGCCACGCATATAAATGATTTATAGTGAAAAACTTTGTTTTTACGGGTTATACTTATTTATCCTTCTATCTGCCAGATAGAAGGGTAAAAAAAACAATTATCATATTTTTACTGGCAAATGAGGTTCCCATAAAGTTGATCCTTGTTTTGGTCTTGGCAGCTACCTTGTTCAAGTGGTCATAGAAGGTTAGCGTACAATCCAACTTCACTCCCAGATAGGTTGGAATGGGGTCGTGTTGCACAGTGTTGCTGCAGGAGGTCACTTTCAGAGTGTGCTTGCATCGCCTATTATCAAGACGAAATGCAGTGACTGTTGTTTTGTGGGAATTTCTAGAAATATTCCCCCATGGTGTTTAGGTCTTGGATCTCCCTTCACTAGTTAATTAAAGGGCAACAACTTTGATCATTTATGACCTGAAAAAAAAACTTCCAAATAAATCCTTTACCATCCTCATTTGTGGCTTGTACAACTACACTTGTTCCACACATAACCCAAATTATAAAATCAATAATTTGTATCTAAAGTTGTCCCAATTGAACTGAATATGGTTACAGATACCCTGATTCTGAAAGAAAAACCTCACTTGATTTGAATAATCTAACAAATCTTCGTCCTATTTATAATCTACCGTTGATTTCTAAGATTCCTGAACTTATCATGGTCAACCATTTAACTAACCTTCTTTTAAAACATAATTTTTATGATCCACTGCATCTGGTTTTTGGGCACATCATTCAACTGAAACTCCTCTTTTATGAGTTCTGAATGATCTTCTTTCTGCCACATGTGATCACTATATTCGAGCGCCTACACAGCCATGTGGGTGTCTCTGATGCTCTTCTTGCTTGGGTCTCTTTCTTATCTTTCCGATCGGCATTTCTTTCTTTCTATGGAGTTCCCAAGGCTCTATTCGTGGTCCTCTACTGCTCCTTACATACCTTCTCACTGCGATATCCGATTGGCTCGCATCTAATTTTCTCCTGATTAATATCAAGAAAATCGATCAATTAAAATTGGTACGACAAACGAGTAATTTATTTAACTCTGAATTGATTATTGTCAAGGAAGTATGCGGTCTTGGTGTCATTTTGGATTCAGATCTGTCATTTTCTCTTCACATCTTTCTTCTAATTTAAAGCTTTCGTGACTGCAGGGATTCATATTCTTGGTTCTTTCGGTAAAGTCACGTAGAAGTGAAATAATAAAATAATGAAAATATAAAACAATAAAATTCTCACGACGTTTCGACTGCAACACAAGCAAACACATGATGATTGCTTGTGTTGCAGTGGAAACGTCGTGAAATTTTTTTGTTTACATATATTTTTAGTATTATTTTATTATTTCCCTTCTACGTGACTTTATCGAAAGAACCAAGAATGTCTCTATTCTATGTAAAACTACATTCTTTCATACTCCATAGGATATCCCGGGTTCATAGCTAATTCACTCAAGCTGTTTCTGAAACACTAATTCATGCCTTCATAACCTCCAGGCTGGATTAGTGCAATTATATTTTATATAGTCTTCCAAATTCTCATATTCAACAGATTCAGCAGGTCCACAATGCTGCTGCAAGGGTGCTAACTCGCACTCGGAAATGAGAACATTTCACCCCCATTATATTCCCTTCATTGCACTGATGGTGTACAACATTTTGAATGGACTTGCCCTGGCCTATATATATATCCCTTCATTGCCAGATCGAGTGCCAAACAGCAACACCTCCGATGTTCCTGTATGGAGCTGCTCATTCAGCCTAAAATTAAATGCAAGACAGTGGGTGGGCGTGCATTCGCATCTGCAGCTCCCATGGTGTGAAATGCACTCCCGCTCCACTTGTCAACTTTAAAGTCCTTTCCACTATTTAAGTCCCTTTAAAAAACCCTTTTGAATGACTGTGGCCTTTAATTGAGTTGAGTTAATCTTGGTTTGGGTGTGCAATTCTTTTGCGAACAGAAATATAGAAATGTATTTGCCATTCTCTTGTACAGCATTGTGAGATGTAGTTTCGCATGAACGACACTGTATGAAATATAATTATTATTTGAACGAGTACGCTTAACTCTAATGGCGTTTGTCGGTGAACTTGATGTCCTCATACCTTCATTTACTTCGTTTCATTTGGCAACCCGAGGTGGTAAACCCTGGTCCAAGATTTACTGGGACAGGAGTCGTTAAGCAGGATTGTGGCCAACATATAATACGTGGTGATCCTCGGTTATGGTTTTGCAACTATTTTATCCAACATAATTTAAATAATTACCATATAAAGAATGAAATTTATTGCCTTGCGCTCTGAACAGCGTTTTCTGTGACTCGTAATATCCTGATTCTTGGTTATTGTGCTGCGATTACTGTGTATGAATCGAATCTGCATATTCACCATTGCTTTCTTTCATTTCTCTCTGAACTGTGTTTTCAGATGACTATGAGTGAAGTATTTAGCCAAAGTAAGCATTCATATTCACAAACACATTTATTTATGAAGTTCAATTTAATTGGAAGGGACTAATATTTGAATAAATGTTAAGAGTTTCTGGCAAATTTCTTGACAGGCCTCTGTCAGCAACATGACTGCGACTGACTTTGTTTTAGTTCGTGCTCAGACGTATTGCGGTCGAGGCATTTGAGTGTTTTATTTTAGCTACTCTGATAGCCAATGCCAACCCTCGTAGTCTACTGCTGCATTCTGGAGTTTTAAACCCTCTAATAATTATTGTATATAATGTTTTGTATCAAATGTGCATGACTTTATTTTTGTGCATTTTAAGCCAACATTGAGGTTGTTTTATGTCTGACACGAAATAAAATATTCGCACAACACGCACGGAAGCAAGATGCAGGCAAGGACCACTCTATGATAACAAGTTGTCTTGTAAGCGCAATAAACCTGTCATTGAGCAAGTAAATGGTGGACAAAAACCCCCTTCAATCAAGCAAAGAGTTTTTTTTTACCTTATTTTTGCGCTAAATGGCATGAGACCCATGGTGTGACATACAAAATAACACCCATTCATACAGAATTATACATGTAAACCTTTATGGTCATGAAACAAAAAGTCTATTGTCCACTATAAAGACTAACTTTGACGTTATCATTTAACGATCACTTTGATTTAGTGTTCATTTTATAATAAATCTTTTAGTATATCACAAAATATTGCACCAGAATTCAAGCCATTAAATAGCCCCACATTGACTACCGAATACTTTTTGAAAGAGGCTGTGATCATGACCCTGCTATTGGAGCATGGCAGTATGAATAAGAGGTGGTAGAATGGCAGTCGAGGAGAACTCACATTGCACGGACTGTTGGCTGTCAAGTGGAATCATGACGTTGGACCTCATAGACCGGCGGGACGACAGTGTGGCACAGTCTTCTCCCTCGTGCACTGCAGTACACAAACATGCCACTCGAGGTTAACCAGCATTCAGCCATCCAAGTTAATGTGTGCAGGTCAGTGAAAATTCACATTATACACATGTTTAATTTTATATACATGGAAGGATATGTGTACAGTAAAACATTCGTTCCGGAAACGTGTTTGTAATCCAAAGCACTCGTATATCAAAGCACTCGTATATCAGTTGTGATCACGTGACGCTCGGCAGACAAAGCGTATACACGTGCTGCTCGTATTGCAAGACCTCGCTCGTTTATCAAATTAATATTATTAAAACATTTTGCTCGTCTTGAAAAACACTCGCAGACCAAGTTACTCGCAATCTAAGCTTTTACTGTATTCTCATCATCATCATCACAATCCATGGGCAGATAGCCCCCGAGGTGTCCACGGAACATTTTGTTATTTCTTTCCACTTTCCTCCGGGGCTTGTGCCAACATGCTCAAGTAGTGCCACATCGCTTTGGTACCTTGTGTCCTCAAGACATTCTCTGTTAGGCTTCCTCTCTTTCCTGTTCCTTCCATTTTTCTAAACCACACACTTTTAATTGCCATGTCGTTGTCCATCCTACATGTGTGTCCAAATACTGTAGTTGCAGTTTCCTTCTCATCACTGCCTGCATCAGGTCTTCTATGTGCAAACGTTGTTCTTACTTCTACGTTGGTCACTCTTTTGGGTCCAGTTTGGATACAGCATCCTGTAGCAATACATTTCGAATGCCAATATCTTATCTCTGTCAGTCTTTTTTAAAATCCTTTATATTAAGTTCGCTTGCTTGCTTGCGTGCTTGCTTGCTTGCTTACGACCGTGCAAATTTTTCGTTCGTTTTTTAACACACTTCCCGTGATCCAATCGAGCTGACATTTTCCACACAGACTCGTTGTGCGTGACAATTAATTTTCGTGAAAAAAAAATTCCAAAATTTTACACTGTTTAGGGAAAATTTAAATATTTAATTACCAATTGCTTAATGCTGGCAGACAATCATCTGACCCATAGGTGGCAGCCATCTCAAGCCAGAGGACGAGAGGACTCTAGCCGCCACGCATATTAAGGATTTAGAGTGAAAAACTTTGTTTTTACGGGTTAATTTTTTATGTCCAAGTCTCGCAGGCATACACAGCTGTACTGAACACGCATGTTATGAAGATGTTCAGTCTGGCCTTATAGCTGATTTGTTTGCTATTCCAGATGTTGTTGAATCCTGCCATTACTCCTTTTGTCTTTGCGAATCCTCGCTCTTATCCCTTTCGTGCAGTCGTCCCATGTCAGGAGACTTCCCAAGATATAACATTTCTTCACATTCACAATTTTGCTGATTTCTACGACTCCTCCTTTCTCAACATCCTCCCTTCCAAACACCGTCTTTGTATTTTCCAAGTTAATCCTCAGTCCTGCGTATTTTCCTGCCTTACTCAGCGTACGCAGACTTTCCTGCAGTACTACGCAGCTTTCTTCCATCAGATTTACGTCGTCTGCAAACGTCAGGTTATTTATTCGTTCTCCTTGCACAGATATCCCTGTGCCTTTGTCCTGAATGGCATCAATTACTCTTTGCAAGTATGTGACGAAGTTGGTTGGTGAAAGTGGATCTCAGTCTCGTACCGTTTGTTGATGCGAACCATTCTCCTATTTCCTGCCCAAGCTTGATTTTTGACTTTGACATTTCACCTATATCCTGCAGAATCTGCATCAGTCATTTCCCACCATTATCTCCCTAGTGGTGATGTTATCATATCACCGCAGGTACTCATTTGAGGCTATGTGAGGCCCAGGACAAGTTCAGATAATAGTCACTGGTGTTGCTATCACAGCACCACCGCTATACACATCATATACACATACACACAGATACAGACCCTCTGTCTATTTGTCCAATTATCTCTCTCTGTGTTTCTCTATCACTGCTTTTCTCCCGAAATGTGTCTGTGTTTGTGTTTTTCACGACCTATGTGGAATGGATGATGGCAGCCTTCACGCGATCCACTCTGTTAAGTGAGAAATCACGACGGATGCGATGAATGCGGCGACCGAACATCGATCGTCCATTTCCCAGTCTCCAGAGCAACAGCACAAGCCATGCCAATGGCCTTCTTCAGGGCCAAACAACATGCCAGATAACTTTGATGTACTGTGGCTCCAAGAAACCCACGTCTTGGATGTCCTACATGCCAGTACTGTACCACATCCATGGATACCTCACGACGAGCCATTACCACCCGAAATATCGCTTGGCCATATACATCAAGAACACTATCACGCCTTCCCACCAACTTAAAAAGCTACCAGCATCAAGATAGGGGAACTTAACATCACCAACGTGTTTAAAGCCCCTAATTAAAAATGGCCAAAACCAGCACTCCCAAGTGCATCAATCCCAGCCCTATACAATGGTGTCTTTAAAAGCCACCATACTGTGTGGAGCTATGCAGTAGATCAGGTCGATGGCAAAGGCCTCACTGACTGGATGTTCACCAGAGATATGCACCTTCCTTTCGATCCTAACCAGCAAGCAACTTTCCACTCTGCTCGCTGACAAAGCGACTCCAACCTCGATCTCACCATCGTTTCCAAAGATCGAAATGGAAGCACACTTCACGCATCCCTCAAAATACTCCCAAACTTCCCCAAAAGTCAACATAGGCCCGTCAACACCCACATGCCATTTAAATCCCTGTGATTCTGTCAAAACGATTACTAAGGTGCAACCTGGCCAAAGCTAACCAGGACCACTATAAGGAGGTTGTAGAAAGAGTGGCGAGTCAAATTCCCATGACGGCGGAATGTTATCACCTTTTTGTTGGCGTCCTCACAGCAGCTGCCAAGAAGAGCATTCCCTGAGGCTTCCGGAAAGAATACACTCCCTGCTGGACAAAAGAGACCCAGGACCTTCTCCAACAGTAGAACCAGTTGGGAAGCCCATAGGTTGGAAAGGCCCTGCTAGTCTTTAGAATCAGCCAGACGTTAGAGGTGGATGAGTGTGTTCAAGGCCTGGACTTGGTGCCTGGGCCCTACTACAACATCGGAATGCTGCTAACCCAACAGAATACCAGACTGCAAGAGTCCTGCCTAACTCTATAGCCTTCAAACTAGTGGAGAACACAAAAGAACGGCTCAACAAAAACATCAAGTGAGTGAATTTCGATTTAAAGCTTTCGTGACTGCAGGGATTCATCTTCTTGGTTCTTTCAGTAAAGTCACGTAGAAGGGAAGTAATAAAATAATAAAAATAAAACATAATAAAATAATTCTCACGACGTTTCGACCACAACGCAAGCAGCCGTCCTCAGGTGAAAACCAGGTCTGTCGAGGTGACGTGAGAATTATTTTATTATGTTTTATTTTTATTATTTTATTACTTCCCTTCTACGTGACTTTACCGAAAGAACCAAGAAGATCAAGTGAGTGATCCATCGCCAATTACACCAGACATTGGCCTGAATTTCTTCACAAGACCCCATCACCATCAGCACAGAGGAAGGGAGGGAAGGTCTCGCGCTACTTGAAGAAAGGCAAGGCTGCTGGAAGATATGGCATCCCTCGAGAATTCCCCCATCACTTAGGCCCTAGGGGACTCCAATGGTTGGCAAACCTCGACACCATATGCATCCCAAAATAATGGTGGGAGGCAATATTCATTGCAATACCCAAACTGAACAAGCCAACTACAACCCGGGAAGCGATAGGTCATTATCACTGCTGTGCACATCCGATAAACTCGTGGTATCCATCATCCTCCAGAGAGTCAGCCCCCTCGTCAAGTCAGTGAACACTAAATAACAAGCAGGATCCCAGCCTCTATGCAGCTGCTGTAACCAGGTTTTGGTCCTTACGATGCACATCGAGACCAGATTCCAAAAGAATCCAAGACCGGGTGGTCTTGTCATCAGCCTATGACATAGTCTAAATCAAGGGCGTGATGGTGAAGCTCGCAAGGACTATTCGTTGCCTCAAAACAATACACCTGATACGTACGATGCAGAGCAATAGACAACTGTGTATATTGGTGATAAAGCCAGCTCACCCCGGTGCCTCAACAATGGATTGCCACAATGTTTAGTACTCACGCCAATGCTCTTCAATATCTACATGAACGACATGCCGCCAACTGGGTCACCCCAACTTGAATATGCGGATGACCTTGGCCTGGTAATGCAAGCATCCACTTTCAACAACATCGGATCTACTCCAAACAAAAACCTAAACACTATGGGGGAAGATTTCTAGAAATGGAGGCTGAACATTCTTAGGTTTTTTCGGTAAAGTCTTATTTGACAGACAACAGGTTATTGATAGACAGCCATGCTTGTTTTACCATGTTTAGTTGTTTCTTTTTTCACACTATTGTTATGTAGGCCAGGCTCAGTCACAAACCGTATCTCTCCATAACAAAGGCTCAGCCTCTTAAGCCTCACCTTACCATATTAATAAAAAGTGTGCCGTACTTGGCCCTTCCCCCCTCTCCAACCATTATCTATACGGAGTGGTAGCTCTTGTAATCTCTCATTTACTTGATACAGCTGTCGTGGCTGTGACGATTCCACCTGAAGACGGAAGCTTGTGTTGCCTCCGAAACGTCGTGATTTTTATTTTATTTTACTTTTATTAATTTAATGTTTTACCTACGTGACTTTACCTAAAAAACCTAAGAATATGGAGGCTGAAGCCAAATACCCAGAAAGCAACAATCATCGCATTTTATCTGAAAGTCACCTTGTGTGGCAACGTTGTGCAACACGACTCTGCTCCAACCTATTTCGGAGTGAAGCTGGACCGTATGTTAACCTTCCACAACCACCTGAAGAAGGTAGCCGACAAGACCAAAACAAGGGTCAACCTGGTCCACAAACTGGCAAGCACAAGCTGGGGAGCATCAGCACTAGTGCTACGGACATCAATGATGGCTCGTGTCTACTCTGGAGCCGAGTACTGTGCACCAGTATGGACCAGAAGTAGTCACACTCAACGTATTGATATCCAATAACCTGAATGCCCATGCTGTCACACATCTCTCCCCCATCCATCCGCCGCAACACTGCAACCCTCCGAGAAGTCCTGCGGATTGAGGAAAACAGTCGCTTTCCCATTCATCAGAACCTCAATAACATCCCTCGTCATTGCTTGAAGTTAAGCAAGCCCTTTTGGACCCATGCACTGAACCTTCAACAATGTGAGTTCAACCCCAATGAGGCTTGGAGAGCTGATTGGAGCTCAAAAGAACTCGCATACACCTTGTGAAAGGCCCAATGTCAAAGATCCCTGGTTTTGATCTTCCACAAAGCTCATGGTCCACCCTAAACCGCATCTACTCAAACCATGGCAGATGCGGATACCTGATGCACAAATGGAATATTGAAATCTCTCCAGTGTGCGACTGTGGTCATCCAGAACAGACCATACAACATAACGATGCAATTCCCGATCCACAAATATGAAGGAGCCATCACAGCGGCACACACTGCTGCTCCTGACGCAGTTGTCCGGCTTACCACCTCAATGTGAAATTGTCGTTGTTGCTTTGCATCTACATCAGCCATACCAATGTCTCTATTTCTGTCTGCGTATGTGATGGCATGTGCTCATGGGTGTTGGAATGGTTTGGACCCCCTCCTTCAACCATTGATGCTGCTCCCCCGACAGGACTCTCCTTCACCTCCATCCCTCCCCTCCCCCTCCCCACTCTGGGTGCCACAAGGTAATGAAACTACCGTGGCGATCAGTGCTGTGAATTAAAAACAGTATTATCCAGCTTTAAATTTTTTAAAGATTTCTACCTGGCTAGACTTGAATAGTGAAAACACCACCATAAACCAGACTGCCCAGACTCAAAGTGGATAATCAGTGTATCTCTACTAGACATCATGTCATACACTTCCAAATGCACTTCCAACTCTTGTAGCATATTCACCAAAAATGTAACCAAAGTCATTTCTGGGTGCAAGTACTTTTCTCACCAATGTAAGAGTTGCGTCTTGTAAGGCTGTCAATGGTACAGGGCTCGATGGTGTGTATTTCCTGTGAGTGGCGTGACACAGGAGTTTCTGTGACTCCAGACTCGGCGCCTGAAGCGGACTTCACCAGAGTTCTCATCTCCAAACGCTCATGGTGTATCCACAGGTCCGGTGGACTCAAGTCCAGTGCGTGGCTTTTTCTCTTGGAGCTGCAGGCTGCCGCGCGCTTCCTGCCATGTAGAATTGTTTTCAAGAAACACAAACATGCATGTAGACACACAACTTCTCCACATAATCATATTAGGTGGGGGGGGGGGGGGGGGGGGGGAATGAAAAAGGCACAAAGTTCTAGTAATCAAAGTTGGATTTTGTCTCTTGTAGCAGGTTTAGGAAATTCATTTCATAATTATTTAAGAATGTTTGGGATGGACCTCCCCAGCATTTAATTTCTTACCCTTTCATTCAAAGGTGCATTGTAATCTTTAAGTGTTGTAACCACCACCTTTTTACATTTTACAGACTCCAATGAGTGTATATTAGCTTCCAGGATGTTGGCTAGGACTGCTAGCAAAGCAATCTCAGTTTGTTTCAATGTGTCTGTGATAGTTCTCATGGTGGTACAATTAAGAGCTGTCCGCCAGGCTGGTGTGGGCATAGTTCAGTATTCACCACCAAAGTAGCAAAAACCAAGCTCTGTGTCGCACAGCGTTTGTGTATTGGCTCTACAGGCGAACCCAATGCGTTTATTTAGGAGACATTTTCTGCTTTTGATCTTCTAAACTAACTTTGGAGGTGGTATTTGTGAGTGAGCGATGTAGGGTGGACCCCAACTTTGGATTGTGTGGTAAATGCTGACTATTAAGAAATATGTTGAGCTCATGTTGCATCTAAGCATGATGTGAATGAAAGTTGATAGTTTTTTTACGTGCTTTATTGCAACCTCCACGTTTTGCAGCAATTACCTGTCATTCATATCCATGCTTAAGATATATTCAATATTTTTTAAGTCCTTTAAGGCTAGGAAGATATCATCAACAACAACAGCTATGATCAATTCACTGTTTGAAGAAAGCCTCGACTTGTCATGATCTCATGAAGCATTATTCCATCCATATTGAGATTGTTTGGCAGGTTAATAACTTGAATAAAGTTGGTGCCAGAAATAAAGTGTAATATATTAAACCCTGTTTTTCTCATATCAACATTTAAAAATGTAGTGTTACTCACTACACCTGCGACTCCAGGGTTCTGTCTATAATTCCAAGTTGGTCAAATGTGTTAACTACAGTTGCCGGTACTCTAAAATGCAGCTTTTGCAAAAGCAGCTTACATTGAACGGACGAATAAACGTATCAGTGGTGTTAATATTAATGCTTAATGTAGACCTAGAGGGATGGCGTGTTCCTAATAAATGTGCCAGTTGGTGTCTGAATTTGGAGTATAGGACCCGTACTTGTGCTCAGCAGCCATGCGACGATTGCAGATGATGGCCACAAGGACAATGACGATGATGGTGATGACTCCAACACATACAATAATCACCACAAGTGTGGTGTTGTCCACATTTGAAGGCCGGCTCCCATTAATCTGACCTGCACCCACAGCACACAGTGGGATGAAAACCATTTGCTTTCTTCTTTAAAAACAACCTTGAACAAACGGCATACCAAATTTACCCAGACAAATGGTTTCCTATTGTCAGTAAAATTCTTAAAGTGAACATTTTTATTTGCTCCTTCATCTAGCCGGTATAGCATTCTGTACATTCAAGCATGTTGTCGTACATTAGTTTAAAACAGGAAAGTGTGATAATGATGGAGATTTAAATATTTTGGGGCCAATACTATATTTTATATTCTTTAATACAGCAAACAGATGTTAGAATAAAACCCATGTATAATGAAAAACAACATTATATATTGCAGTATTTAAGCACATTATATACAAGGGAATGCAGAGCATGTTGGAGGAGTTACATGAGGTAATCAAAGCTGTTTGGAATAGTGCTGAGCTTCCACAGGACTAGGAGGAGGCAATCATCATTAGCCTGCATGAGAATGAGGAGAAGAGAAGAGAGGCACAAACACACATGGATGCATACACACACATATGGAATGCAGTAGAGGATGGAGCCAATCCTAGATAGTGATAATGCTTGTTTGCAGGAGGCAAATTACATACATCACTGCTCACATATGATGGCAGACTGGTGGTAGAGTAACATTTTAAAGTGATCAACCAATAATTATATTATTACATTTTAGTCTGAACCCTCACTGGTGATTATAAATAATTTTCCTTATCCTATCCCATGCCATGACAAAAGCACTGTCATATCACAATAATGGCAATAGGTAACGAGCATGCTTATATTACATGGTTGTTACATGGGGCGATATTAATTGCGAAATTTTAACATTGTTTCATCATGTATTCCCTGCAAATAAAACAGCTGCATGTAGGAGGAACAAACACCGCAGACAATATTTAATTCATAAACGCATTCATGCATTTTCAAGACAGATACAATCTTAAGCACAATTTAGTTGAAATAGTGACTGGAATTAGGAAGGTTGAAAATTATTATCCAGTATGACAAGCCAGCAATGCACAGAAGTGTAACATTTATGGGAAAGTTATTGCAAAATAGATCACAGTAAAATGTATAATATTGGAACTTGGATGTTAAAAAATAACAATTCATAATTTTGAGCAAATTATGTGAATTTTAGAATGGTAAAATATATTCACATTGTCAACATTACAAATTTTTTTTTCATTATAAATAACACATTGTAAAGCTCGCATCCAGTAAATAATGGCCTTGAGAAAGAAAATATTTTTTTTTAATTGTCTTATATTAATTTTGAGATTTTTTGTGTGAAATGTCTTACCTCTGCAAATAGAAACCAACTGTACCTTTATGCCAATAATATTGCTATTATGATGAGATGTACGCTTCAATGTAAATTACAGATTTAAACAGACTAGACCTGCTCATCCACTATGCAATACCTTTTGATTTCAACTGTAACAGAACTGTTTTACTCCACTGTAATCAATATACTGTAACGAGACTCCTTTTAAAAATAATATACTCTTAAGGGTTTTCATTGATTATCTACCGGCACAGGTCACTGATCTACTAACTCCATAAAAAGCTCCTTGCAACTTTAGACAGATGTAATTCAAATCAATACAGAAAAATAACAAAAATTCCACGTTTCAATCATCCATGCATTCTTGCAATTCCCGACTTCTGTAATCTGTGGGATCGTTGACCCTGAAATCTGGGAAAAAATTGCCGATTTATGGATCTTTTGCATTCGCGGCAAAATCCTCCTGCAGTCCCCAGTACATTGCGTAATTGACTTCCTCAGATTGGTATGCTTTATTATAATGTAATCCTAAATTTATTATTTTACTAGAATGCATTACAATCTATCTATATAAAAGTCAAAAATTGTGGCGGGGTTTGTGGGTTTGTGTGTGGTCGCGCGCTTGGCTCTCCAACGGTGGGGTTTACGAAAAATAAATAGCCAGGTACCACACCGTAAGCCCTGCCGTGAGCAAGCACTATTCCTTTTTTACATCAGTCAACATTCAATTAGTTTAATTAGCGATTTAGTGCGATTTCGCGCACTTATTTTTTTATGACGCGTGCACGACCATACCAACTCACGCGCCTTTGGTGCGTGAGTTGGTATGGATGGCCCATGCCAAGTCGCACGCCTTCAGTGGGAGTGAGGGGGACATTTTATTTTGCGTTAAAAATCCTACAAAAATACACTAAATGCTCAGGTTAATTCTTCACTGTCTCATGTCCCCCCCCCTCCCCGATGCGTGCAGTTATTACTACTATACAGTCGGTAGATGCTACCACTATAGGCCGTCAATCTAGGCGAGGCCGGAGGCTCTGCACGGGACTAGGCCTCACCACTCCACTCTGTCAGATGAGTACTTTGTGCTATAGAGTCAATAAATACTGCTATAGAGTCAGCATGTACTACTGTAGTGATAGCAGGTACCACCACAGTCGGTATGCACTGCTGTAATCATAGCAGGTACCACCACAGTCAGTATGCACTGCTGTAATCATAGCAGGTACCACCACAGTCGGTATGCACTGCTGTAATCATAGCAGGTACCATTACAGTCGGTATGCACTGCTGTAATCATAGCAGGTACCACACAGTATGCATTGCTGCAGTGAAAGCAGGTATCACCACAGTATGCACTGCTGTAATCATAGCAGGTACCACCACAGTCAGTACGCACTGCTGTTAGATTTTGGATATTTCTCCGGGTCCTCCGGTTTTTCTCTCCACATTTAGAATCAACTTGCGTTTAGAGTATTTGCCTACTATACATTTCTACATGATAAGCCACTTAGTTGAGCTATCATCTGTGACCAGGTCACTGCTGAAGAGCTACATAGCTCAGTGGGCCTTACCTGGTAAAATAAGTTTAGTTTGTAAAAAAACAACCAAGACATTCACATTGCCAACACACCATCGGATTCTTTGCAAGGCTTACACAAATAACTTCACGTGCAATTTTGAAACTAGGAACGTACGCAGTGAAAATTTAATATATTGTGATGGAATACAATACCGTACGTGCATCGCGTTTACCACCGAAAGCCTAGACTCAACAATGTGGAGGAGTCAATCATGGTGGATTTGCTTGAGTGCCATTGTGAGGACCTGTCAAGTGAGAATCTGAACCATGAGCTGAATAAAAGGCCGAGGAAATGATACCACCAATATCACCACGGATATTAACTTCACAGAGATTTTCATAGGCTTTTATTAATGTCGAAGCAAGAATGGATATCTTCAGAGGATGATTCAAACCGAGAACAAAAGCTCTGAGTAGCGCGGTTGGCTACGTACGGTTGGCTATGTACGTACGGTACGAAATAAATTGAACATACATACATACATAACAGGACATTAACCAGTGGCATTCACTGGTAGAAGAATCTTTACCAGCAGAATAATAAAAATGATGTCAAGCTGTATTTATAAAAAAAAATAAAGTTCTGCATTAAATCCTGAAGGCCCACAGAAGAGAGCACGCTTCGTTTGGTGAACATTCCTGTATCTCCAGCTTCATTGTAAGATGAAGAAGCAAGTGAACTTGCACCTTCGTCTGCATAACTCCACCACTGCTCACCCCAAAAGGCCTCCATCAGCAAGCACATGTGTAGAGTAGTTGTCATGAGCGCTGTAAGGAGACACCTTCGAGAACAGGGGCGGGTCCGAGTGAACGGGAGGAGCCACCCAAGGGGTACTTAAGGGGGACCCCCGTGACGAAGGCGGGGTCGTTGTGGGAGCCCGGAGTGTGGATCGGCTGAAGGAGGTCTCTCCCGCTCGTGACCGGACGGTGTTGGCTGAACCCCCGTCCGGGGTCGACGAGTGGGAGAGCCGAAGAGATAGCCAAGAGTAGGGCTCGAGGAAGTCTGTGAGAATCGGCTGAGAGTGAGTGGGGTTCTTCTCTCCTCGGCCGGGCGGTGTTGGATGAACCCCCGTCCCGGCCCGAGTGAGAGAGCCCAAGGGATAGCCGAGGTTAGGACGAGTAGAGCTTGGGGGTCCACGGGAAGGACCGAGTGTTTAACCGTGTTAGTAAATGGCGAAAGCCCTTACAAGAAGTTCTGTCTCCGCGTGGTTCTACGACGCAACACGTACTGTTTAACACTTCATGACATTTAGTCACACTTTTTTAGATGCTAGTGGTTGGGAGAAAATGTGTAGAGTTCTACGGGGAATCCATTTCGGCCTGCTGCTTTTCTGCTGAGGATGATGCTAGAGTGTCATTAAGTTCCTGTAGGTCAATGGGTATCTCTAGCTCTTCTACCACATGTGAGTTCAACCTATTAAGGGATATTTTACTGAAATAAGTGTCTTATTTTCTTGCTTGTAGGGGAGTCCGATGAATATAGGGCCTTGTAGAAGTATATTCTTAGGTTTTTTCGGTAAAGTCACGTAGGTAAAACATTAAAATTAATAAAAGTAAAATAAAATAAAAATCACGACGTTTCGGAGGCAACACAAGCTTCCGTCTTCAGGTGGAACCGTCACAGCCACGACAGCTGCATCAAGTAAATGTCGTGGCTGTGATGGTTTCACCTGAAGACGGAAGCTTGTGTTGCCTCCGAAACGTCGTGATTTTATTTTATTTTACTTTTATTAATTTTAATGTTTAACCTACGTGACTTTACCGAAAAAACCTAAGAATATGAATTCTTGCAGTCACGAAAGCTTCAAATCTAAAACCTTGTAGAAGTCTTTGAAGTGGAAATGTATTTCCTTTACCTTTGTGAGGGGCAGCCCTTCTTTATGGATATAGGATATGTAGTTACAGTTCCGCCTGGATATGACCATTCTCGCTAGGATCTTCCCCGTAGAGGGAGAGGAGTCACGGAAGGGGAGTATAGCCTTCATAAATAGCAGGGTGGTTTGATCATTAGGAATTTTTTCCAACTCTAGTTTCATAGAATTGATTTCCCTCATGGTGATTTGAAATTGTGACCTTATAGCTGTCATGTAGGGAGTTAAGTTTATTTTCCAATGCGTGCTGCTTGGCTTTA